CGCCCCCCCAACAGGCTGCCTCCCTGCCTGCTCCGGGCCGGACAGCTCCCCTGCAGACCCAGGTGAGCGGCGTGGGGCAGGGGCTGACTGTGCAGGGTTGCCGGGTGTCCGGTTTTGACCCCGACAGTCTGGTATTTTCGCCCCTGGCCGGGAGAAGATCCGAAATCCCAGGCATTCCGACTGTCTGGTATTTTCTGAATGTGTTTACCGGGCAGGAGCCGAAAATACTGGACTGCCCGGGTCCGTACTGGACACCTGGCAACCCTACCCATGGGAGACGGGGCGGCCCTGGCTGGCTGAGGGCGAGCGAGAGTCCCTGGCTCTGGTAGCTGCAGGGTATGAAAGCGCTGGGACCTCGCCGTGCAGGGCCTCTGCCACAGCCTCTGCCCTGTCTCGCAGGTGAGCCTGGCCTACGCGTACGAGACGAAGGACGCCCTCTGCCTCGTGCTGACCCTCATGAACGGAGGGGACCTCAAGTTCCACATCTACCACATGGGCGAGGCCGGCTTCGAGGAGCCGCGCTGCGGCCTGGGCGACCTGCACCGGGAGAGGATCGTGTACAGGTAGGGGAGGCCTCCCTGTGCCCCAGCAGGGCCCGGCTCTCCCGGGCTGGGAGCAGAGGCCCGTGTTGGGCACAATTTGCCCTTCAGTGGGTAGTTCACTGACTAGCTGCAGAGGCAAGAAGGCTCAGAGCTCTGCGTTCCCCAGCTCCTCTCCCCTTCCTGCGCCGGGCGGGCCCCGGCCTGGCTGGCGGGAGCAGGGAAGGCCCGAGAGGAGGCTCAAGAAAAGAGGGACTGGCTGAGGCTGGGCTCCGAGCTGCGGGCCCCAGAGGGAGTGGGCACCAGCAGAGCCTGGGCATGTTGCTAGGACTGAAGCTGCTCCAGGCCATTTCCAATGCAGTCTTCTCCCTCCCGCTCCAGGGACTTGAAGCCAGAGAACATCTTACTGGATGACCATGGTGAGTTGGGCTGCTGGTAGCAGAGAGGCCAGGAGTGTGTGGGGTGCTCTGGCCCCCGGCTTGGCCTGTGGGTGTCTCTTGGGCTATTCTGTGTGGCCAGGGCCGAGCCCTGTGGGCCGGGTCGGGGGCTCCCCGGCGGCGGCCAGGGCCGAGCCCTGTGGGCTGGGTCGGGGGCTCCTAATGTGGGGTTCCCTTCTCCAGGTCACATCCGTATCTCAGATCTGGGGCTGGCTGTGCATGTGCCTGAGGGCCAGACGATCAAAGGCCGGGTGGGGACAGTTGGCTACATGGGTGAGTATCTCCTGCGACTGGACATCTGGAGGCTTTATGTAAATAGTCCCCGTTTGCATAGAGCCTCCCTCTTCCTGCCCCCCCGTTTCCTTCCTGACCCCCCGGATCCTGCCCAGTGTCTGGCCCGCCGCCCGCCAGTGGGGAGAGGGCCGGTGCCGGCGTCTGCTCTGCAGGCGACTGTACCCCTTTCGGGAGTCTGGCTTGGTGTGTGCGCCCCACTGGGACCACTTGCTGCCGCAGTCAGACAGAAATACAAGTGTGGCCGCACGCTGGCACTGGACATGGCTCCCTTCCTCACTGCCACCATAGGATGCACAGAATCCCGCTGGAATACGTTGGGCTTGTGTGTCAGTGCGCGGGGTGCAGAGAGCAGCATGCAGCGACTTCGCTAGTGCTTTGTGGCTGGGTTACTGGAGCCCTGGGAAGTACCCTGGGGGTACATGTGCCCGGGGCTGAGACCTGCTGGCCGGTGCCGTGCCTCGCTTGCAGCTGCAGGGCGGGCCCGGGCTGGGGAGTCTTTAGAGTCTCCACAGTCCCTGAGACTGCGTGAGCACTGGGCCCGGTGCCTCCCCCCCACAGCCCCTGCGCTGCCAGTGAGCCTAGGAGAGAGAAGCAGGGGGGTGCCCCAGCTCTGGTGGCCTCAGCAGGGTGCACAGGGTGAGGAGCGGTGTGTGCGTATGAGTGAGGTGCTGGTTCGATGCTCCCCCGTGAGAGCAGACTGGCCATCTGGTGGTTAACACTGGTTAGATTCACACACCAAAGCGTGGTTCTCACGACAAATCCCTCGGAGCAGCAGCGCGCAGGCGTTTCCAAGGCTGCTCCCCGTGCGCTGTTCTGTCTCCAAGGGGCACCGCCCGCCCTTTGGGAGCTACGCCTGACGGGCCCCAGGCGAAAGGAGCGACGGCGGCTGAGCGTCACAGCAGTGGTGCACGCCAGGTTCAGGGTTCCCCCGCGCCCGGAACACGCCCAGAGGGGTGCGCCCCCCCG